CAAATTACCATCTTCCTCTATGTCATCAATTCCTGAAAAATTAAATCCTTCAGCTTCCCCCAGGCACAGTTCAGGGTTATCATGTTGCAATCTCTCTCATCCTTCTAATTCCATACCATTTGTTATGACCATGGTAGTCTCATAGAATTTATTAATCCAAGACAAGAGCTTCTGTCTTTTTTCTTCTATGATGATTATCTGAGAAGCAGTTGGATTGTCTGACCATTGTCTTATAAAAGATCTTAGGGTGTCTCTAGTATTATAATTTGAGTCGATCATATTTGTGAAGTTGAATGTCTTACTGAGCATTTTCTATATTGATACCCTCGATCAACGACAAAATGGCCCCAGTCCTACCATTGGTTGATAGTTCATTTTCAGTCAACCTCAGCCTTATTTCAGCCATGGTTGGAGCTTTTAATGATTTGAAATGAGGACTAGATCAAAGTTCAATTTTACCGAACTTGCCTTTATCCATCTTAAGCTGATAGATGTCAAGAAGCTCTCCATGATCAGAGAGCTGTAGTTCGGCTTGCTTCTTCTATTTCTGGACATCATTTGAATTGAGAGAATTTGTTAATTCTTCATATGGACCCGAGTGTGGTTAACACCCTGTACGGCTTGATGATACTTTTTCAGTAATGATTTAACTATTTAAATGTCATGTTAGTCAAAGTTAACATTTTAGAAGTAAAGGCACTTGCCAATTCTGACAAGCTTCTTTCAATTCTAAAGAGCTAGATCCCCTGGTGCAGGATGTCTGTCTGTCTCATGTCCAAAGCCAAACCATTTTCTATTCATCAAATCCCTCCATATATGGGACACCCGCATAAGTTCACAGTAGCGATCCTTTTTATCATGTAAGTCAGGAGTACAATGATACAGAAATTGCTCACAGATATTTTATGAGGGAAAGCATTGTTGGTGAAACATCGTAGTTTTTGATAGTAACTCATAGCTGAAGTCTTGCACTCCGAAGCATCTATGAGGAAGTAATCTAGAACATCGAAGGTGAAAGCAGATTGAGGGCGAGTAATGCTGGCAGGAAATAACCTCGCTTTTAAGAGATGTAGGTGTCTGTCCTTATCAGCACCAGGATACGGTGTGAATAAACTCCAGTGGAATGCACAATGACCAGGTTGGACAATCCTAACTGAGTGTCATAAATAGTATCTCCCTCTCCATGTCCAAACACATCTTTCATCGCTCCAAGATCCGACCAGGGTGAGGGGTTGGACTGCTGCAACAAATTGGGGCAAGGATGTCACCACGGCCAAGATGTATGATATATCCATGGTCCCGTAGAGTAGTAGACTGATAGAACTTGCCATTCCAAAGTTGGGGGTTGTGTTACGACTGGGATAGTTCTTCTGTCAAAGGTCAAAGATAGACCGGTCGAGTTGACAGTTCGTCGGCCTTCCTAGTACAAGGAAGGTGTCTGGTTCAAGGGTTCCTTCTACACGAGCGCTGCGGCTTCTATGTAGGATCAGTGGTGAGTGGTTTTAGCACTTCTACTGCAATCAAGGGTTCAGGCTAAGACAGTGAGTGACTGTCTTAGAATCAGGTATCAGGCTACAAGGGTGGAGACCTTGTAGATCAGGTTTCAAGGGGAAAACCCAGTAGAGTTAAGGAATACTGCTATGGTACATGGGGTTTATGTAGGTAAAAGAGAGCGGCGCAGCTGCGGCAAGAATGGTAACAAAGATAGGAAAAAGAGTACAACCTATCAAGATAGCAAAGATAGGTGAAACCGCCATGCAGTGCAAGATAGTATCTATGTTACAATCAAGAAGGAGAGAAGTGCGGACAGCCCACTTGATAAGAGAATAGCCGAGTCTAGATGAGTCTAGAGTCGGTGGCATGGTTACAAAGGAAAAATGAAATAGGAGTAAATGTTATTGTAACAGGTTGTGGAAGGATGGTGCTGGTGGGCTTTGACTGCACATGAGGGACACCAACTGTGCTCCTGAGCTTTCCGGACAAGTGCAAGTAACTTCCGGATGAGTGCGGGAAAGTTCTGGAGGAACTTCCAGAAATTACAATGAGGTTTCGTCCTGATATGAATATGTGTAGTGGCTACTCAGGACAAGTCCTGAGTAGAAGCAAACAGAGGTAAGGCTGCAAGGACAATGTCCAAAGCAGAATAGGTCCGGAGGACCGCAGGAAAGATCCAGACGAACTTCTGGAAACTTGGAGGAATATAGGATCAGAGGATCAGAGGATCAGAGGAGCGGAGGAGCGGAGCTCGGCCTAGGGAATTCCTCCCTAGGCCTAAGGAATATTTCACAAGGAAGGAACTAGTATAAGGACTTAGTGTGAAGACTAGTGCGAGGACTAATATGATATTCAGACTGAGGGACTACAAGACATATACAAGAGTTTATATACTAAGTGACTATCGGAAAGATCAATAAGCAAAGGTCCAAGGCTATGTACGAAGCATAAGCAAAGTTAACAAATGCGAGTCAGAAATGAAGCATAGGTTAATGGATCAGTAAGCATACCGGTAGTAAGTATAACTGAGGTACCGGGAACAAGGAATACTGGATATGCTGTGTTAACATTATATGCACAGGAAATGGATTAAGAAGCTTATTAATATCAGATTGGAAGCGGATCTATGCATTGGACTGGATCGGACCAGATATGGTCCAGACGAGATGCGTGGATATGGATAGGACAAAGGATGAATGATGCAGGCTAGCTATGAAGGTAAAAGGGATCTGGATGCATAGAGGACTGCAGACATGGATAGGACATCCGAAGGTCCAGATGAGGCGTGGGAATATTATCGGATGTAGGTCCAGAATATGGGATATGACATTGTGCCTCTGTGTGCCTTTTGAGCTCATTGAGATTATGAATGACTCTCAATGACCAGAGTGCAACATTGCATGGCTACATAATCCCCCCCAAAAAAACAGCAAATATCTTAGGGATTTTCCAGTACTATTTTCTACCTTTTTTTGCCCTCTTACCCTTCTGCCTCCTTCCTACTGACTCTAAAAAGAAGCTCTGCATGGGAAAACCTGGCCTTGGCACCCCCCACCCTGTTGTGCACAGCATCCTTCATAAAGTGGGCAATTACGAACCTTTCTCTATTAAGCCAGGTCCAACAGAGTGTTCTAGCACCCTTCCTGAGATATGAACCATTGTGCCAGGAGAAATAATCAAGCTCTGCTTTGAGGTCTGCCAAGGCCAATGTTGCATCATGGTTTTTTTCCAGACTAACATGAAGAGTTAATAGTGAAGGAGATCCACTGCCATCTCTGTGGCTAAATGTGACCTGATTAGCAATGATTTTAAGTCCCAAAAAGATTGAGGGCCAAGATTCCACTGGGGCAAGGTTTTTTAAGGACATCGGACTTCCTTGATGAACCTCAGAAAATGCTGAAATTGCCAGCTTGGAAAAGATCTAGTGCCACCACAGCAGTTATAGCATTCCATAGAACTTCTGATGATGTCAAAGAAAGCCGCCAAGCCATTGTTGGACCTTCTCCGATCTATAAGACTCCGATGTCACCAAAAGGATCCATTAGTCGCTAAGAATAGAGGTTAAAATCAGACTAAAAATAAACACTTGGTAAAAATACAATACCTCTTATCTTTGCATGAAGTATGCAGGAACCACCATCATTCTACCAGCCCCAAACTCCCCCCCCACCATCTGGGACCATATAGCCCTCATCCTCCAAGTATTCTTATTTGTAAGTGATTTGAGAAGACTATTCCTCAAGCCAACTGTAATATGGTTGACATGCTCCTGATTATTAATTAATTAGCCTTGAAGGGGATCCCAAACCATGAACATACTAGGTGAGAAGGTGTCAAATATTAGGGAGGTAAGCCACTAAAAGTTTTCCATGCCTGTCTATAACTGTTGTTGGAACTGAAATTTTGCCAAGCGCTACTTTGGGGAAGAACTTCTTCAGTCTATCTGTTTGAGCAGATGGCAACCCATTCAGATTTGGGTGGCAACAATTTGACCTTCTCAGCATACCGGTCCACATCCCAATCAATATTCACTGTAGTTCAGCATTTAATTCATATACAGCCATAAATTTCTCTTCACTCACTGGGGTTGACCATGACATGTGCAATGGTCAGGGCGGCCTGGGTTATTTCATATTCTGAAATTGACCCATCATTGAAGGTTAAATTATCAGCCGGTGATTCTAGCACTGCTGAAGCTGTACCGATATTCTCATCCTTGATTCCCTCATTAATTAATAGTCAGCTACAATCAATGCTAAACCAATGTTACCTAGCTTTATGCAGTAATTCAGTTCCAACTCTAACCATCTTGAAGGACACCTAGTTCAGATGAATTGCTCATGATCTCTCCAACCCTCCTAGTCAGAGCTGCCACTAGCTCAGTTGTCCTGCTTTTGAGGTTGTCCATTATGAAGAAGAAAAAAATAAACCAAAGTTCTTGTGATCCGCACTAATGTCGATTAAGCATGATGTAATTAGACAATCAGACCATATGGAGGCAAATTTATTGTGACATAATAATCTAATATGGTCTGATTAACTTGGGCCTCTTTAGAGCCACTTGCAGAACGCCAGCCATCAGCTACAGTCCTGTACTGGACTGTGCAAACATCTGCCACTAAGAGGACCAGTAAAGCTGGACGACATAACTTCTGGAAGCATGAATAGTCCCTCATCTGCTGTCCCAATGTGAGAATAGTCAGACTACCATTCTGTACTGACTGTGCAAACATCTGCCACTAAGAGAACCAGTAAAGCTGGACGACATACTTCTGGAAGCGTGAATAGTCCCTCATCTGCTGCTCCATCAGCATCCACTCTCAAGCACTCTGCTACTGTAACCATGAAAACATAGTGCAAGAACAGAGAAATAGTTCACTATTCTTATACTGGGCTCACTTGCCCAGTTCAAGAATAGTCAGACTATTCATGATGAAGACAATACTCTGTTCATGTGCACTCTGTGTCCCAGTGCGAGAATAGTCGGACTACCATCCTGTACTGACTGTGCAAACATCTGCCACTAAGAAAACCAGTAAAGCTGGATGACGTGCTTCTGGAAGTGTGACAGATGAGGGACTATTCATGCTTCCAGAAGCACGTCATCCAGCTTTACTGGTCCTCTTAGTGGCAGATGTTTGCACAGTCAGTATAGGATGGTAGTCTGACTATTCTTGCACTGGGACACAGAGCGTATATGAAGAGAGTATTGTCTTTATCATGAATAGTCTGACTATTCTTGAACTGGGCAATTAAGAGGACTGGTAAAGTTGGACAGCATGCTTCTGGAAGTGTGAAGAGTCCCTCATCTGCTGCTCTATCAGCATCCGCTCTCAAGCACTCTGCTACTAATATTTGGACACTATTGCCCTTTATATCACTCTCATATGATCACGTGACTTAGATTTTGGGCAAAAAGTTATGAGTCACATGACCAAAGAATTCTCATCAAGGGCAATACATTTGCGCTGAAGCCTTCATTGTAATCTAAAGTGTACAAATGCAAAAATTTAAAAATGACACAAAACTAAGGTAAATGATGCAAGACATAGATGGAGGGGCCCTCTCCATCCAAGCCTTGCATCCTACAGTACAAAATGTAGGTAAAAATGTAGGTAAAAATGTGGAGTAATTGATAATCTAGTGTAGTGAAAGTCAGTATGAGACTGAATATGAAATTGGCACTTACCAGATTAAATCAATGAAGGAGTAATAAAACCAAACCCATATATGAGGCTAGAGAAAGAAATGTGGTTAGTATTAGAGTATGTAGGAAAGAGAGATGAAAAAACTGGCTCAATAAACAAGGCAGGCACCCTAAAAGCTAGAGAAAATGCAGTTAGTATCTGAAAATATACAGAGCACAAAAACAGGCTCAACAAACAATGCAGGGGCGCAAAATCTAGAGAAAGAAATGTAGTTAGTGGTCTAAAGTTGAAGGCGCCAATCCCTGAGGACATGCATAGCCAAAAACATATCCCCCAGATTCCAAAGTTGAAGGCGCCAATCCCTGGGGACATGGATAGCCAGGAACAGATCCTAAAGTAAGAGGTGCCAGTCTCTGGATACATGGACAGCCAAGGTAAGAGGCGCCAGTCTCTAGAAACATGGATAGCCAAGAAACAATTCAAACAAAGGAAAGGAAACTGACCTTGAGGTGCACTATCAAGCGCAGCTGTGAATAAAAAATGACAAGTTAGTATTACAAAACATAAGTAAAACAAAACATACTAAAAGCACTTGAGAAATAATAGTAGCACTGCCTTTGACCACTTGCAGCTGCAGTCTGTTAGTTGTGTGGTGACTTCACACTAGATAGGTTGAAAACTTCTAAGACTTCGAAGACTTGAAGGACACTTCAAGGACATTACTATATTAGTAGATAACTTTGAGGACTTTGAGGACACTTTGAGGACACATACCATACTAGGAATTGTTTATATTTGTTTACATAGACTCGCCCATAGTGCAGAGTTCACAAGTCTTACATGCTTTGTGCATTGACTTTGAACTCTCAGTTATTCTAACACAGTCTGCAACTGGCCAAAGGACAGGCCACAGGATATGAGCAGATGAATGATTGAAGTTGAGAAAGATGAACCGTGTGAACAATATCAACGGTTAATGTATTGTTTATTTGTTTGTTGATGTTATCGCCAGCTGTTCCCACGCACAAATCCAAGGGAGCAAACAAGTCCACAATTGGACTTTGCCGGTACACATCACGTGCATCTTTGGTTGGTTTTTGCACAAGTTTCTTTTGTCAATGCGTCTCTTTGTCATCTGATATGTCTCTTTGTTAATGTGAGTTTACCTTTGTGTGGCCTTGTGTATACTGACTACAGGGACTCTTTACTCAGTGGATCTTTCCTCAGCATGTCTTTTTGTCAGTGCCACTCTTCTCTGACACGTCTTTTGAATGTGAGTTGTCCTTATTTTTTTTGTGTGGCACATGCAAGGTATACTGACTACAGGCACTCTTTTTTTAGTGGATCTTGTCTCAGTGCATCTTTTTGAATGTGAGTGTCCTTATTTTGTTTTTGGGTGGCGCATGCAAGGTATACTGACTACATGCACTCTTTTTAGTGCATCTTGTCTCAGCTTGTCTTCTTGTCAGTGTTGCTCTTCTCCAACACGTCTTTTTAAATGTAAGTGTCCTAATTTTGTTTTTGTGTGGCGCTCTGCTAATACTGACTACAATTCTAGCACTTTGCACACTCTTCCTCATCATGGCCCACACCAAGAATACTGCCAAGAAGTGCACCAGTGGCTCAGCACCACACGTCCTCCTCAAGATCTCCAGGGTACAACTCTCTAGAGGGGACTGCCAGAAACTGAAGGCTTTGAGTGCCACCAGGAGCACCTTACTTCTGGGAGGTGGGGACTTAGAGAAGAGGAATGGTGTGCATGAGGTTAGTCTATGTTCTCTATCTTCTATCTGCTAATTCACTGTATCTTTCTTATCAAGGCTTTGACCGCCACCAGGGCCACCACCAGTGAGGACTTAGAAATAAGTAGTGCCCACAATGAGGTGCACACATTCTCTCACTGTTCTATTTGCTAATGTACATTGTTCTTCTTATAGTATTGTATACTCTGCAGGGATGGTGCAGCGCGCTATGAAGACAATACTCTCTTTATGTGCGCGCTGTGTTCCAGAGTCGTCTATAGGCTCTGCCTGCAGCTACCGCCTGACATAGAGACAAAAGTCCTACAAGAGGACATCTCATTCTGGTGCATTTGTTGCCACATGAAAAATGGAACAAAGCGCCACCTACTTTGTGAGTATATTTTTTCATTTGTTCATGCCTCATTGATAACATCACAATACTACAGGGTTTCTATAACAGTAGCGGCCTTCCCTTTCTCAACAAGTTCCTATCTGTTACTGGTGTGCTTGAGGTGTCCGCCCAAGCTGAAATATCGGTGGCTCCGGTCATTTTTATTCACCTTATCCTTGTCGACTTTGAATTAGCTGGCAGCCCTTTCGAGTTTGCTCACAGATTCCTCAAGCTGTACTACTCTGGTGATGGCATCAAATATATTGAGGTATACTGCAACATTGGCACTGATGGCAAGGTCGCCCTCTATCAAACACAAATCTGCCAGATTATTAAAGGTTTGAAGAACTCATTCATCTGGGAGCATGTTGTCATAGGTGTGTGTCCACTCACACTGATGAGGACTTCGAAGACCCTTTTACTGGGTACAGAGATGATTCAAAGGTCTATGTAAGCACACTGGTCAATGATGTAAGTTTTCCTTTCTTTGAAACTGGCCAATTGTGACTATTGTTGCAGTTCTTGGATATAATTCTCCAACCTTGACAAAGTATAATTGACCATGCCCAAGAATCCTATCTCTGAATGCTATGCTGTGGCTCCCTTGTCAACAACCTAGACTCATTTCATGGCTTGCAAGAGGCCATTGTCCAGTAATTTTTTTTTGCCTTTATTTGACATGGTTTATCTAATGTTTCCACAGACATAAATTAACTGGTATCATCGCATTCAATGCTCTTTGTTTTTAGCTGTCTTTCGCCTCACACTTGCTCATCTCATTTACCGAGAGGTTTCTCATTGAGCGGTGCCCACTTAGATTGACTTTCAAGGACATGCTCTCACAGTCCTGGGACCTAGGCAGCCACTCTGACGTGTTTCTGTTGACCACTGTCAAGGAGGGTGGCCTTAGTATTTCTAGGTTTGCATGGGCTAATGTGGAGGTCCATCCTTGGGGAAACCCCTTGCCTATCCAGTGCAGTGGGTGTAGTAGGATGAATTCTTGGAGGTCTGCCTATGTCAAGAACAGCAAGTCTTATATTTTTGAGTGCAAAAATGACTCTTGCAAAGTAAGCCACACATTCTCTCAGCCACCAGGGTCTACAGTACTCTATTCTGGTAGGAAGAGTGGTAGTACCTGGTTGGATATTCCATTGAAGGTGCACTTAGCTTAATTTATATGTTTTTCTGTGATATTTGTCTTACACTGTTTTTGCTCATGTTATTACTGTTTTGAATTTGAGTAATCTTTTGTTTTTTCATTTCTGAATCTTGAAATTTGGTGTATAAACTAATGTAGGCTGATATAAGTTTGCACAATGTTTTTCTAACGAGTCACATTACATCATATGGCAACAGAATGGCAACAAAACAGCAACAGAAAGACAACAGAAAGACAACAGAACAGCAACAGAATGACCCCAACATTGTCACCTGATGACCACATGACTGTGTTTTGATCGTGTGACATGGTTTGTTGATCTGTTGTTAAGTAAGTTGTGGACTGGTTGCACTTTCTGCAAACTTATACTGGCCTACATTCTTGAGATTTTTGCATATAATGGCTAACTGGACACATATATTCAAGAGTGTTTTGGATGAGCACGAGGGTGCCTATGTTTCTGCCAAAGGAAACATGGCCAAGAGGGCTACAATCCTGAAAACCATCAAGGATACTATAGTTGAAACTGATCGAGTGAAGGATCCTTCTATCATGCTTTCAGACAAAAACTTTTGGAAGGTAGGTTTCCAGTGTCTTTAATATCTACAGTAATCTAATTTTATAGGCTATTCGTACATATTACTTGCGGTTCCTGAAGGATGATGAAGATCGGGCCCTTGAGGAAAAAATCATATAGGAAGGTTATAAACTCCCATCTGGTCCAGGGATTGTCACTGTAGACATGGTCAGAGACAGAGAGGATGACAAGCCTCTGGATGCTGCAGCATTCAAGACTGAATTCTCACCTTTTGATATCGCTCAGAAGTTGGTTAAAGAAGAAATTGGGGAGTATGATAAGAAGCATCATGACACCTCTGACCTGAGGTCCATGGGGACAAGGACAAAGCTTGTCCGGTCCTGGTACAAGGCCCTCTCACCAGATGTGCTTGAGGAGCTCAGACTTGTGGCTGAAAAGTGGAACGAGGAAGGTGCTCATTCTGATGTCAAAGACAGGTATTTTTTTAATACTACATTGATATATTTAAGATAATCTCATGTATATCTACAGATATCATAGTTGATGTTAGTTGTGTGGTGACTTCACACTAGATAGGTCGAAGACTTCTAAGACTTTGAAGACTTGAAGGACACTTCAAGGACATTACTATATTAGTAGATAACTTCGAGGACTTCGAGGACACTTCAAGGACATTACTATATTAGTAGATAACTTCGAGGACTTCGAGGACTTCGAGGACACTTCGAGGACACATACCATACTAGGAATTGTTTATATTTGTTTACATAGACTCGCCCATAGTGCAGAGTTCACAAGTCTTACATGCTTCGTGCATTGACTTTGAACTCTCAGATACAGTACTTTACTTATTTACACAATAATATCAAGTGCATTGACTTTGAACTCTCAGTTCTTCTAACAGTTGACACCAAAAGAAACTCATGGAGGACTTCATTAAGATGGCAGGAAGAACTATGGGTTTACATCTTATGATTCTCATAGCTCATGATCGGGGGGAGGGAAAAATGCCTGGAACAACCATATCAGTGTTATGTTTTCTTTTCTCATCAACATTTATATTGATAAATTACTGGCTTAGCTGGGAATCCTGTCCCAGAATGTCGAACAAGACTTTTACTCTCGCATCTAAAAAAAATAAAAAATGGGCAGGAGAGTCTCAAGACCACCTTGCTGACTGGCTGACTGAAGCAGAGTACAGTAAGTCTTGGCTACTGTACCTGATTTACTTTTGAATGATCTAGCTGCAAACATAGCCCCTGAAGACCGATCTAACAAGGAAGATGAGAACTTGCCCAATTTAACAGTGCATGTCAACAATGAGGGTTATCCTTGCCTACCAACAGGGTTTGAATCTCTTGTGCTCAAAAATCAGCAGAAGGTTGTACAAAAGGTCTTTCAAAAGGCTTATGGTGATTTATTTCTATTTTTAAAGTCGTGTATTTTTCTGATAGCTTATATTCAACAGCGGTCAATGTAAGTCAAAAATCAAGAAAGAATCAAAAATATGTGGAAGTATCAGATGATGAGGATGAGGTACTGAAGAAGGTCCCCCAAGCCAATTTTTCTTTGGATGAAGAGAAAGACTTGGCAATAGGTCTGAGTCACACCCTGTCTCTTTTCTATTCCTGTCCGAAATTCCATATGAGTGGTGATACAGTCAGTTATCTTCAGTCCCTCTCCACTCTCTCATCATACCATCATCTGTTGGCCACAGTTCAAAAGCTTGCCGAGACAGTATGTATAATTCACGAATTTTGTGATACAGCACTGAATTTGACTTGTTTTTGAAAGCAAACTACAGATCCTAAGGGCAAAGCTAGGAAGCAACATCTGCCTGGTTGGTTGTCTTTGACATGGTCTGAGGAATATCTACCTCGGATTATGCACTGTGATATTCAGGCATCCTTCACTGCTTTGAAGAAACTAGAGAACTATATTATCAGATCTCGAGGTTGGAGTATGATTGTTGTCCTTGTCCTTGGACTCTTCCTTCGTGAGTGTCGCCGTGCTCAGGAGTATGAAGCCGATGAGGCCAGAGATGATGTACCTGAATATTTGGGTGACTCCATCCTTGGCATTCAGGTAGGGGAGAAGATTGAGGAGGCAATTACTAGAATTCAGGCGAAGGTGGAGGCAATACTGCCAGATGATCATGAGAAGCAGATGTCAGTGAGTGAAGAAGTTCATATGAGATGTCTGGAGAACAAAAGGCAGGTGAAAGAGAGGAGGGAGGTGGAGCAGACAAGGGTTGCTGCAGAGAAGAAAGCTGCTAAGGAGAAGAGGGCTGCTGAGAAGGCTCAAGTGGCTGAGGAGGCTTGTGTGGCTGAGGAGAAGAGAGTGGCTGAGGTGGCTCGCATGACCAAGGAGAGGGCTGCCACATTAAAGAAGGCAAGTGGTACTAAAGCTGGAGGAAAAGAAAAGGGTAAGCGACCAGCAACAGATGTGAATGATTAACCTGTGAAAAAGATGAAGACATCTGCTCCTTCTGCTCCTCCTGCTCCTTGTCGTTCTGCCAGGGGGAAAGTACCTACAAAGAAGTAGAAGGACTAAAACACTTGTATTAGCACAATGTCTTAGAATGTTCTTTTTGCAGTTTGTTGTCATATACACTTCATTTCAGACCTTCCAATGAAACCTGATGTAGGAATGGATGTTAGAATAACTGAGAGTTCAAAGTCAATGCACGAAGCATGTAAGACTTGTGAACTCTGCACTATGGGCGAGTCTATGTAAACAAATATAAACAATTCCTAGTATGGTATGTGTCCTCAAAGTGTCCTCGAAGTCCTCGAAGTTATCTACTAATATAGTAATGTCCTTGAAGTGTCCTTCAAGTCTTCGAAGTCTTAGAAGTCTTCGACCTATCTAGTGTGAAGTCACCACACAACTAACAATGGAACCACTTCCTTTGCATCCACCTGTTGTCTGGTTGCTATGACATATCCTGCTGTATACAAGTTAACAATTTCAATTGCTCTTGTTGTGATGGGTACAGATATAACTGATACATTATCTATAAGTTCATTGGCGAGGTTGGGGCCCAATATAATGACATTGTCCTCATGTGGTGTCTCCCCACACAAGGACCCTCTCCTTAGCTTGGATATTCCTAGAGTATTGGGTCGGCATGATATCCTGTTAGTTGTGTGGTGACTTCACACTAGATAGGTCGAAGACTTCTAAGACTTTGAAGACTTGAAGGACACTTCAAGGACATTACTATATTAGTAGATAACTTCGAGGACTTTGAGGACACTTTGAGGACAGACCTCTAAGACACTTTGGGGACACATACCATACTAGGAATTGTTTATATTTGTTTACATAGACTCGCCCATAGTGCAGAGTTCACAAGCCTTACATGCTTTGTGCATTGACTTTGAACTCTCAGTTATTCTAACATATTCTTCTTTATGCCAACTCATTCTCTTTTCCCTTATCACCTTCTGCGATCTCCTCAATCCAAACTAATACCAGCTGTTGTGTATGGCCAAATATTAAGGATATTGGTGTGGCCACTGTGTGATTAAATGACCCCAGAGCCTTGCTTACTATTGCTCTTCATGCTGCTTCTTTATATGTCAGTCTCTCCTGGTGATCCAGTGGCATTGGACAGTTTCTCCCATTATGCCCATACATACTGCACAGAAAATATTTGCTGGAGGTGATTGCTGCTGTACCTGGTTTGAGTGGATACCCCATTTTGTGTTGACCCTCATATTCTCTCCCCATTTCACATTCCATTGAGCTATTTGCATAGCATATGCTGTGCATCCCACAGCTGTATCTTGATGGTGCATGTATAACACTACCAACTGTCTGACCATTGCCTTCATATCTTCTGTCACTATGAGTGGTTGCACTGCTGTAGTAGGTTGATGAGTGAACATAAACTTTTGGTATGCCATAGTTGTTTGTACTGGTGTCTGTGCAATGGTATTATTGCTGCGCGATATGTTTGACACTACTAGAGGATTGATTGTCATTTGTGAGAGTTGATTCTGTAGTGCTGTCATGGGGTTTTGCATTGTACTGCACTGTTATAAGTGGGCTACGTCTATGCACAATAAGTTAACTTCCAGCTCTTGTTTCACATGCTGTTCTTTTTTTTCTATGAGTTGTGTTCCTTTCAGCTCTGTGACTTCCTTCATGAATTCTGCCCAGTAGGTATACTCTGTATCCTTAAATAAGTCCTTTACAATGCTTGGGAGCTTTCCTCTAACCTGCCAAATCATAGATGTACCTGATGCAATTTCTGTGCTCATTGCAAGCTGCAGTGCCTTTGTGGCCCACGCAACATGCATCCAACATGCGCAATCATATAGCATAGTCCTCGATCCTCCTCAGATCCGAGCCTCGTCTTCAACTCCATCACCACCACCATCACCACCTCCTAGACCGCCCTCTTCCATTGGCATCGGAGCCAGACTGCCCAGGTGCAACAGAACCAAGCCTAGAGAGTGGTGGAGGCTATCTCCAGCCCAACTACACTCTGATGTTGATGATGAGATTGAGGATGCGGATCTTGGCCATGAGGTTGTCCTCTCTGCAGCTGAACCAGCTGAACCACTGTCCTACTCCAAAGCTCTGAAGCGCCCTGATGTGGAGCAGTGGAAACAAGCTGCCATGGAGGAGCTGAATGCCCACAGCATCAATGGCACTTGGCAGCTCGTCCTCAGACCTGCTGGAAAGAAGGTCATAGGCTGCAAGTGGGTATTCAAGGTGAAGCGCAATGCAGACAGATCTGTAGAGCGCTACAAAGGCAGATTAGTGGCCAAAGGCTACAACCAACGACCTGGTTTTGACTACCTCGAAATATTTGCGCCTACAGTGAGAATGCCCAGCATAAGAGTCATCCTAGCCATGGCCGCCATTCATGACCTCCACCTGCGCTCTATAGACATATCTCATGCCTACCTCAATGGGGAGATGGACTGCAACGTCTACATGGAGCAGCCTGAGGGATTTATTGAAGGAGATGCAAAAGAGATGGTTTGCCTGTTGAAGAAGAGCATATATGGCACCAAGCAAGGAGGCAACAGATGGAACCAGAAAATGTGCTCTGTGCTCAAGTCCATCTTGACAAAGTCTTTGAGTTGACCCAAGGTGGAACTATTTTGCAGGATGATGGGACTACACAGATGAGGGGGGAGTTGTTAGAGATTAGAGATGTGTTCGGTCAGGAGGGAGTGTTAATTGTGTGATTTCACACTAGATAGGTCGAAGACTTCTAAGAATTCGAAGACTTGAAGGACACTTCAAGGACATTACTATATTAGTAGATAACTTTGAGGACTTTGAGGACACTTTGAGGACATATACCATACTAGGAATTGTTTATATTTGTTTACATAGACTCGCCCATAGTGCAGAGTTCACAAGTCTTACATGCTTTGTGCATTGACTTTGAACTCTCAGGTATAGTACTTTACTTATTTATACAATAATATCAACTGCATTGACTTTGAACTCTTAGTTATTCTAAAATGTTCTACGATATGGGACAAGAAGCTTATTACACGATGCAAATCCAGCATCAGTGAGGTAGTATTTGCTGGGAGGGATTTTGAGATCTGTGATGTGAGCAGCATGATAGATACGCACATCTGCTGCTGACCCCTCCCAACCACTCAGCATGTAGAGGAAGAACATATCAAATGAACAAGCAGCAAGACAATTTTGTGTCAAGGTGCCTTTGTGATTGGGAGTGCCATGACACTGTTCAGCTGATGGGTAACAGGTGATGTCGGTGCTGTCAATAGTGCCAATGGCATCAGCAAAGTAGGGGTAAAACTTTGGATTTTGAGAGACTTTAGGAGGTATTGGACTTGTTGAATCAGATAATCAAACATATGTCGTATAGATGGGGGAACACGATAATGCAATGAGAATGTGTTTGAAGTACCTTTGAAATGTATCACTAAACAAGCATGGTATGATAGAAACAACATACTTTGATATTGTATCATTAGAGCGTTGAAAGCACTCACCAAGGTGATGGACAGAAAGACCAGTGATGCATCCATAAAGAAACATGGACAATTGCTCCTCAAGGGTGATATGCTTTGAGTCCCAACATCCCACAGTGTGAAGTAGATTTAAGAGGACAACAAAATGTGTCGGTGTACATCAAGTTCACATTGTATGCAGTCTGGATGCCCAGCAAGAAGTTCCTTGACCCATGCTATTTCTGATAGAGCTGAAGTGTGATATGGTGTCTTCTCAAGGTAGGCCTTTGAATAAATGTTGAATGTCTGCTGAGTTGTATCAATGACAATTATGGAGATTGCGAGAATAGCATCATAGAACATCCCCTTGAGAATATCTAATTCATCACCACCATTTTCCTCCATATCCACAGATGCTACCATACCATCACCAGCAGAGTTAGACCTTGCATTATCCATGTTTGGTGGGTCTTGATTAGGGTTGGAGTACATTATAATTTCTCTTAACACTGGTGAATGATAGCATCAAGGTTGATACTGATATCTATTATCAGCATGACATCTCCAACTATTTGGAATTGTTTGTACTGTACTGAAATTTCACTGTCCAAACAGACTCTTAGTCTTTACAGTTATTAAAGTCCCATAAGTTACCAGAATGATCAAAATCGTAGAAGTCATCAAAATTGCACATGTCCCACAAGTCATTAGAGTTGCACAAGTAGTCAAAGTTCCTGGCAAGTGCTCAAGACTTCCTGCTGTAGTAAGTTGCTTGCAAGTATCAGTAAGTAGCTCATTGTGTTGTTTGGTCCATACCTAACTTCAAATTTACTATGGGTGAATCACAAAAAAATAAACTATTATGATATGGCATTACAATGGTGCAATTTCAAGGTGGTGCCTGCACTATGAAGAGAGTATCAAAACTATAAATATTATACAGTTCCATGATTTCTATCAATACAGCATGTAAAATGTAACAAAATAATGTAAGACTATGTAATAACAACACTACAGTGTGGTGAAGTGCTCTAGACAATTTAATAGTTCTTCTCTACTAACAAGTTCACCAAGATGCATCTGGCTACTACTAAGACTTTGAAGACAGTTATAAGACCTAGTTAATCATGATAATTTTTTAGACTGTGAAGACATAGGTGGACTTTGAAGACTTTGAAGACAGTTATAAGACCTAGTAACATTGAGGACTTGAGGACTCTACACAGTGAGGAGACCAGCATTTTACTGGCTTTTACCACCAAACAGATTATTTGCAAGAGGTATTACAAGTGGCTGTTCAGTCATGACTTGAGAGTGATATAGTGCTATCATTGATACATTTGAATGGAGAGAGAGAACTTGTAATATAAGAGTATACTGTCATATGTTTATGAATTCACTAAGACAGTTATGATATCATCTGAAGAAATGAGGCATCCAGGATCACTCTGATGGCTGGTGCAGAAGATTCACTGTGCAGTAGGCATGTCTCTGTAAAAAAAAATG